GCTACCGTCCTGCACTGTCCCGGTTCGAATCCCGCTGAGGGTGTTGATAAGAGCAATGCGAGGTCGAAACATCCACTGTCGCTGTTCGAATCTTTCTGAGGGTGTTGATAAGACCAATTCGAGGTCGAAACTGCAGTCCACTGTCGCGGTTCGAATCCCGCTGAGGGTGTTAACTGCAGTCCACCTCGGCCGTCGCGGTTCGAATCCCGCTGAGGGTGTTGATAAGACCAATGCGAGGTCGAAACTGCAGACCACTGGTGCCTAGGGATGAGAACAACTTTTGGGAAAGCAAGGCTATGTGAAATTCAATGGAAACGTCAGCTTAACTCATATCATCGTGGCTGAGAACAACTTTTGGGAAAGCAAGGCTATGTGAAATTCAATGGAAACGTCAGCTCAACTCATATCATTTAGAACAACTTTTGGGAAAGAAAGGCTATGTGAGATTCAATGGAAAAGTCAGCTAAACTCATATCATTATGTTTTTGGGAAAGCAAGGCTATGTGAAATTCAATGGAAACGTCAGCTCAACTCATATCATTGTGGGAAAATCTTTGGGAAAGCAAGGCTATGTGAAATTCAATGGAAAAGTCAGCTAAACTCATATCTGCTATATCATATTCTTTTTGTGAAATTCAATGGAAACGTCAGCTCAACTCATATGATTGTGGGAAAATTCGTTGGGAAAGCAATACTATATGAAATTCAATGGAAACGTCAGCTCAACTCATATCATTGTGGGAAAATTCTACTTGCAAGGCTATGTGAAATTCAATGGAAAAAGTCAGCTTAACTCATATCATTGTGGGAAAATTCTACTACCATTCCCTTAATGTGAAAATTCAATGGAAAAGTCAGCTAAACTCATATCATTGTGGGACAATTCTACTACCAGTCCTTCATCAACTTACACGAATAGGGTGAATACATCTCATTACACTGAGTTACTGGTAGTCTCGAAACCCTACTTTAATACGAATATAAATAACCTTAAGAATGAGGGCATTAGATTGAAAATAATAAGGTTAATATTGAAAAAGAAATAAATTCTTTTTATTTATTTCGAGGTGTACTATATATATTTGCTGGGAGTAACTTATTTGGGGTTGCTTCCACAAGATATTACAATTGGCCGATTATTATTGGCAGCTTATCTATTAATATTTAATTAAATAATTTAACTAGTATGTGGCTTTTATAATTAATCGCAAATACATTTAAATAAATATATATTTTTTCGTGCAGCGTTCTCATTCTATAAAAGTGATATATGCAACTTGAAATTAATATTAAAATTACCGCAGAAAGAGTATTTAAAGAAATGAAATTTGATTTTTTTTAAATTGTGTAATCATGTATTCATATTTTAAGGTGTCATGAGTAAATAAAAATAGCTATAAATTTCACCTGGATATACAATAGTTTTATAAGATAATAAGTTGCATTGCGTTTATAAATAAAGAGATACCTATAAGATCCATCTAAAATAGTGCGAATCCTGGTCTTCTGACGAGCTGGGATAACTAAACTTCATTTAATTTAAATTAAAACAATTTATAAAATATACGTTGGGAAGTTCGCGATGGGTTCTGAGTTACAATAAACCGAAATGTAATATATATTTTTTAGGGTCATAGAGAGTTTGACAATTAGTTATTCCCTTAGGTTTTCTATCTCTCTATTGAAAATATTCGTAAAAATTCATTAATCTAATTTAACTATCATGCAATATTTAAAACCCATTATTTGCTGAGGTATAGTCAAGCCTGTCAATAGAAAATAAATATTTAATATTGAAATGTTAAATATTAATATATTTTATATTATATGTATAGTGCTTGAGAGAGAAATTGATAAGAAATTAATATAAAGTTAAAATCGACATGATCTTCTAAGGATTTATAATGGTCCGAAGAACGTTTAATTATTGAAAATTAAGGAATTAAAGACAAACACTTACATATATCATTCAGCTTTATTAGCTAGGAATTAATAAATTGATTATATAGGCCCAGACGTTTAGCATTGGATTCTTGCCATTCTACAAAGTGGCAACTGAAATTAATTCGTCAGCAAGCTTTTGCCCAAGTATGGCGCCCTCGCTTTTTTTCATCGAAGTATATCTTTCTATTCACTTAGGGTAGTTCAGAAGTACGGTTCAGGGCTGATAGGAACGGCAATCTACTCCAAATTGAATAGTGAATATTTTGTTACTATGAATTCAATTTAACGTGTGAAATAAATCAAGAGCCTTTTTACTGCTACATTTAGTCCCACCTCATCGAAATAAAACATTGTCAGGATATATATACTAGTAATTTATGTAAAAAGCTTCAACATTTTATTATGGGCATTGCAATCTTCAATTTACTTTTTGAACAGGTAATCTAAATAAGCTATTCTAAGCTTCAATCTAGTGTTTAACTGTGCGAAAGATATCTGAATCATATTACCTGTACTAAAAAGAACTCACTCTTGTTGCAATTTGTGCAAATGAAACAATACGATATACCGTGAATAATTTAATTTAATATTCTTATAGTGCTGAATTTGCGATTCAATCTGTTATCTGATAATTGATCATTTATCATGCCGACTTAGATGATTACCCTACTGTGCATCCTCAAGATTATGACTAGGCCATGTTTTCTCCACCACATATCTAGATTAGCTGGATTATCTGTTACTTTGTAGGTGTTTTTCATTAATTAATACATTTGTCTATGTACCAATCCAAATCAAATCTTTAATTATAATTCGTTCTTTACAAGAAATTGCTATCTTGCATTGAGGTTTTTGAGCGTACCATTAAATTCTACCTATGGTAGAAAGACTTAAAGGAAGGCACCTAGTCCGGAGTCCATTGTCTCCATGATCATTTTTAAAGTTGAACCATTCACGTAGTACATTCCAAAATGTTTCGGTGGCAACGTAGTCGGAATCGTCAGTGAGCCGCTGACTTTCAATTAAAGTTCACATAGTCCTGATTTCCCAAATGATGTTCTTATTCAGGATGAACTACAGTTACGACGTTGCTTAGCTCTTATCATCAACCCAAAAAGGAATCAAGCCATGACAGTGCAGAGTGGAAAATTCCTGACATTCCTTGAAATGCACATCTGCTCTTTGACCCAGAGTAATACTTGGCAATGTGGCGTGGTGATTTACATCTCGAGCTTACGCGATGCGGTGTCATGTTTCGAATCCCACTTAATGTGTTAACAAGATCTATGCTATGCCTAAGCTGCAGTCCACCCTTAATGATAACACCTTTTTGAAAAGCAATTCCATGTGAAATTTAATGAAAACTACAAGTATACTTAGATAATTGTGGGAAAAATCAACTAGCACACTATTCCCTCAACTTGAACGAAATAGGGTAAATACAACTTATAAATCTGATTTACTGGTTATCTCAAAAATGTACTCACTTACAAGAAATAATCTACTTTACATTTAAATTTTCGGGCCCGAGCCATATGCTACTATTTTTTATGTAAGATTTTAATTTCATAATTGGGTTAAAATATAATCGAAATAGCCATAATTACATTATGATAAAAATCACAGATTCAGCGTATTGTAAACAAAACTTAAGGAATATATTATTACTGCTGCAAAATGACATTATTCTGCTTAATTTATCAGTGTTGCGTTCATTTTCTCTTAAAAAGGTAAAAGAATTTAAATTCCTTATGGGTCAAGCATGTTGCCATGACTTTGAAATGTCTATTCCATATCATAATTAGCCCTTTCAGGATTTCAACAATATACGTGTGAAGTAATGATTTCTGAAGTGTGGTATGCATGAATAGGAAGATATTACCAGGATGGAAAGAAAATTGGGAGAACGAACCTGGGCAGAGGCAAACGAGAAATTCACTTCAGATGACTCTTTGTTGAATGGTAGTTTTATGCTTTGAATGACAAACTGCTTTGTGAAACGTCTGGACCTTTATAATCAAATTGA